CTAAAATGCAGCAACGACTTTACCACAGCTAGTAATTCGCGTCTTGTGCCACAATAGTTCCTTCCTGGTTTTGACAACGACTTGCTGTAGTACGCTATCACAACCTCTCGATCACCGTTCCGTTGAGACAACACACCGCCGAGTCATGCGCATCATCCGCTCCGAAGCTTCGTTTGTATCGCTAATTCAATACTGCCCTGGTCGCGGCCATAATCGGCTTTATATAGGCTTTTTCCACCGAAACATCTAGAATGTTCCAGAAAATACCGGTCCCGATCGACTAGATGTAAAAAATTCGCATGTGTACTTTTTTACAAAGCTTAATTCTTCTATTCGATACTAGATGGCGCTGTTGGTGGAAAGTTCAGGCATGGCATTTTCTAGAAAGCTCTCCTAGCTCTGCTCCCCGACACTAGATACGTTAGGGGCATTAATTATGGCTTGCAATAATATTTATAATAATTAAAATAATAAAAAACATAGTTTATAATTTATTATTAAATAACAATAATAATAAATAATATTTTCGTTATTTTCTTTTAATGGTATTACAATCATTTCAAACTAGCGCACAACAGCCCGCTTTTATTGAAACAACTTAGCGATCGCAGTGTCTCACTTATTTTGTCCATATTTCTGGGACACTGTTTTCTACAGCGATCGTTCACCTGTTCTCTAACCTCTTTGCTATGGAGGTTAAAGAACAGGAGATCGATGACTACGTGCTAAAGCATAGCCCGCCTGTCCCTGAAAATTTGTATAATTTATAGCCGCGCTGCCGTCGGTAAGTAGTATCTTCGAAGTAATTTTGTAATTATTGACAAAAAGAAACATTAAAAAAATTGTGAAATAATATAAAAATAATAATAATAATTTAATTAATCATTTATAGCTAATAATTTATAATATTTATAATAACGAAAACTATAAAAACGTAATTCATAATTTATTTATTAATAAATAATAATTTCGTTATTTCCTTTTTTTTTAATGATATTATAATCATTTCAAACTAGCGCACAACAACCCGCTTTTATTGAGAATTTAGCGATCGCAGCGCCTCACTCACTTATTTTGTTCATATTTTTGGACACAATTTCTACACCGATCGTTCTCCTGTTCTCTAATCTCCATGCTCTCTAATCTCATGCATAACAACGATCAATGTGGAGTAGCTTGCTACATATTTATTTATCTATGATGTGGAGTTTTGGCGGGACTTGGCCGCAGACGGATTGTCGCTCCTGTTTTGTCGCTCAAATATTGGTTTGAAGTGGATTTTGATTCGTAAAAGCTATGCGATTTTGTCAATTAAGTGTCCGCGCGTGTGAACTATTAGAGAAAACGACGAAACAAGTGCTTAAATGTTGATATAAACTTCAAGTTATTTTGATCGCTTGGGCCATGGAGTATAGAGGTAAGGAGGACAATCTCCCATTGGAGAATAGTTGAAAATGTGTCCATCCGTAAGCTGTAAATAACAGTTCAAAAACTCTCCACAACAGCACTCGAGTTACAGACACTTTAGACGCAATATTGTCATTTTCGAAAGGCTCTGCCGGCGGCATTGACGGGATTACGCCTCAACATCTCAAAGATCTTGTAAGCATGTCTGCCGGTGACGCCGGTAGAGTACTTCTTAATGACATTACAAAATTATGTAATTTTATGCTTTCTGGTAATGTCAATCCCAATTTTATTCCCTACTTATATGGGGCAAGATTGTGTGCCTTCAATAAAAAAGGATAACGGTATCCGTCCTATTGCTGTTGGTTCTACATTTCGACGCTTAACTATAAAATTAGCTTGCAGGAACATAATCTCAAACCTTAAAGACAAAATTTCAGCCTACTCAACTAGGCTTTGGCCTCAAAGGTGGCTGTGAGGCGGCGGTACATTCGGTGCGTACCTTCTTAACAAATTCTAATGCGGATTTTCTTCTGAAGGTTGACCGTAGAAACGGTTTTAACTCTATTGATAGGATAACCCTGCTCAAAGAAGTGGCTAACAATATCCCCGTAATTTATCATTACGTTTGGCAATGTTACAGTCAAAATTCGAACTTGTTTTATCAAAACCATATTATTGAGTCTGCTGTAGGTTTTCAACAGGGTGATTTATTAGGTCCAGCTCTTTTCAGTTTGGGAATTCAACCTATTATTTCAAATTTAAATTTAATAATTTTTTTTTCGGGTACTCGGCATTGTTGTCAAAACGCAGTGTTATTGTTTAACTCCGATTCGACAATTCTTATTACTGGTTGAATTCGATTCTTAAGCAAATATTTTTAACTAATAAGTTTTAGTGCAGTGGTAACTTAATTTACCATAGTATATCTTTGAAAGGAAACATAGTATATTGAAGTAATAATTAAATAAATATAAATGTTAGTGCAAATCTACTGTGTTTACTACCGTCCGTATAATTTGTGTGGTGAAACGCGTAAGCGACACGGCATACACGACGCTTGTGACTCCATGCCGAGTAACTAATTTCGCCTACAGTTAAGTGTTTCATTTAATGATTTCTTAAATTTACGCGAACACTACACATTGAATAAAACTATTATTTACGGATTTTATCGCGTTTAATTACTTTAATTTATTTTTATTATTATCCCGACGTTTATGGTCACGGGGGTACTGAGATGTTTGACGTCCCAATGTCATAGTTAGTCCGGCTACCTTCAGTTTTTTTAATATTAATTTTTGGTCCGATTTACGCAAAACGAGCTTATAGTATCATAAAGTCTTGCAGTGGTATGCTTGGGTTTGGGTTTAATTTTGTTAATTATAGGATCCCAAGCAGATGGTAGCACCCAACCATCTTCTCTATTGAAATTTGGATATTTTTTAATTTCAATAGCCTCACGTATCATCCTTGGTAGGAATCGGTGTTCTTTTGCGAGAATTTGTGGTTTATCAAATCTAATGTAATGGTGGGGACGATCTTGAACATGTTCGCAGACTGCAGACTTCCCGGAGCGTCGGTGCTTCACATCAGCTATATGTTCCTTCACGCGGGTTTTTATAGATCTCTTTGTTTGGCCTATGTAAGAGAGACCACATTCACAATCTAGCTTGTACACACCTGCATCTTGTAGAGGAATATTACATTTGATGGATGGTAAAATTTGACTAATCTTCTTCAGCGGCTTGTAGTATGTCTTAATGGACGCTCGCTTCAATATGTAGCCAATCTTGTCTGTGAATCCTCTGACATATGGTAGTAGAGCAGGCGCGCGCGCGACTGTCGGCTTCACTCGTTCACTGTGACGTAGGCGCGGGACCCGAAGCTTGTTGTCTTGCAATACTTGCTTGACGTGCTGAAGCTCCGCGGCCAAATGTTTTCTGTCACAGATCCCTCGCGCTCTCTGAAACAAAGATATACCCACGGTAGCTAACTGTGAAGGATGATGGTGAGATTCACCATTTAGATATCGGTTGGTATGGGTCTTTTTCCTATACACAGTGTGACCAATAGTGTTATCAGGATTTCGGATGACTAAAACATCTAGGAAAGCTAAAGAATTATATGTCTCTAACTCCATTGTGAATTGTATTTTAGAGTTTATGGAGTTAAGGTGGTCTAAAAAATGCAGTTACTTTGTCAGATGGTAAAATTGTGAAAGTGTCGTCTACGTACCGCTTGTAGAACCTTGGATTTACAGGAGCAGTAAGAAGGGCTTTCTCCTCAAAGTCCTCCATGAATATGTCGGCGACTATGGGAGACACAGTTGAGCCCATCGCCACACCATCTACTTGCTTGTAGAACTCCTCCTGCCACAATAAATAGCCAGATGTGAGGCAACGTTCAAGTAGTATTGCATATTCTTGAGGCATGTTACTTTCTTCTAGCTTCCTAGTTACAATTGAGATGCAGTCCACAATAGGTAGGCATGTAAATAGTGACTGAACATCAAAAATGACCATAGTTTCATTGTTAGCGAGATGTAGGTAGATGTAGGACCCAGGTATAACACCGATTCCTACCAAGGATGATACGCGAGGCTATTGAAATTAAAAAAAACATCCAAATTTCAATAGAGAAGATGGTTGGGTGCTACCATCTGCTTGGGATCCTATAATTAACAAAATTAAACCCAAACCCAAGCATACCACTGCAAGACTTCATGATACTATAAGCTCGTTTTGCGTAAATCGGACCAAAAATTAATATTAAAAAAACTGAAGGTAGCCGGACTAACTATGACATTGGGACGTCAAACATCTCAGTCCCCCCCCCCCCGTGACCATGGGTGCTGAAACGTCGGGATAATAATAAAAATAAATTAAAGTAATTAAACGCGATAAAATCCGTAAATAATAGTTTTATTCAATAAGTGTTTCATTATTAATTATCTACCTGTAATTAATCAGTGTTTGCCTTCAAAACAAATAACGTTTTATTTTTCGTAATCAAAATGAACAACTGTAATGCATGCAAAAAGTATGTGAAAACCACAGAAAGTATAATTTGCACCCAAACAACGTGTAATAAGCTATATCATTATCTCTGTGTGGGTTTAAAGGCTGATAACTTCAAAAAAATACATCCTGGAATTGCCCTAGTTGTAAAGCGAGACAACCGAAGGGAAACAATTGCAACACACCCGTAAGGGTTATGCAGTGCTCGGATGACGAGGATCGAGCGGAAAGCAGAAATGATTACGTAATGACGTCGAAACTCGACGTCGTCGTCCGCGTTCTCCAGACTGCCTAAACGCCTTAAACTCTGAATTTTTAACAAAATGCGCATAGAAATACTTGACATAATTAGGAATGAAGTGCCTAGTATTATTAAGGATATAATATGTAAATAATTCCGAGCTATTAGGAATAATATTAGTGAATTAGAAAAATCAGTAAAATATGTCGGTGACAAGTATGATGATATAGTGAAATCCCTGTCCATAGCAACCGAGGACACTAAGTATTTAAAAAACAGAAAACTCCTCTCTCCGTAGCGATCTTAAGGATATGCAAAAAAAGATCTCGATAATGGAGCACGATTTTGCTAAGCAAGAACAGTGGGCCCGTCAGCAAAATGTGGAAATTGTAGGTGTACCAGAAAAAAGCAACGAATGTCTCATGGACGTTCTTACAAAAATAGCAGAAAAAGCCAGCCAAAAAATATTTGAAACTGATGTAGACTTCGTTCACAGAGTGAAACCACAGCGCTCATCCAACAAGCAACCGCGCCCTATCATCGCGCGTTTCAAGTAAAGACACGTTTTTGTCTGCCTTGCGAAAATGTAGGGACTTATCATCAAAAGTTATATTGTCCACCGGCAACCCCAAAGTCATCTATGTGAACGAACACCTAAGACCTCGTAACAAAAAACTTCTTCCTGAAGCAAAAACAAAAGCCAAAGAATCTGCTTATCGTTACCTATGGACAAAAAACTGTCGAATTTACGTTCTATGCAACGACAAGTCACCTCCACTGTTAATCTCCACCGCTTCAGATTTGAAAAAAATAGTTTAGTCTCACTTAGCTTATTAAGCCAACTATCTGTATTTTTATCATTTATTATCTTTTGGTTATTTAGCGTTTTGTATTCTTGTAATGAACTAAAATTAAAACTCAAAGAATTATTTTCGAAACTTTATCTGCGTTTAAACACACACATACACATAAACAATACACACACTTTGTTCATTAAATCGTGTCCAAACATATTAGATATATGCATCACTAACAAACACACAATTTGTCCTTAGTTGCGACTCTAATAAGCATACTTTATATATGCTTACTTACTACTATTTTATAAGAAAATAGTATATACTACTTAAATGTCTTAAGTTTAAAATTAACATATAATAAAATTAAACGAAATACTTTGAATCTGCTATACCAAAATGTAAGGGGTCTAAGAACAAAAACACAGGAGTTTTACACTAACATCTTGAACTGTAATAGTTACATAATAATAATTACAAAATCGTGGTCACGTCGCACGACGGTATTCTTGACGCCGAACTTTCCGACAGTAGGCACAATATCTTTCGCCGGGATCGCGGTGGGAATAGACGTGGTGGCGGTATCGTGGTTCTGACTGCGGAACGGTTTTCTGCAAAGTCTCGGCCCGATTGGTCACATGAAAACCTTGAATGTCTCTGGATTATGATAGGTGCCTGAGACCTCAGTACTAATCATAATTTACGTATTTGCGCAATTTACCTTCCTCCAGATAATATGTTATCTCAAAGCTTACAAAGTTTCACTAATTTACTGTCTTTCGTTATGTCCTCAAATTCAGATGATTTGTTTTTGATATGTGGCGATTTCAATCTTCCTTGTGTTCAATGGACACCTAATGGTAATACACTAATAAAAAAAGGGCAATACTGATTTGCAAAACTCTGCAGAAAACTTACTATATCAGATTAATATCCTTGGTCTTCACCAACGTAACTTACATGTAAATATTCACAATAATATTCTTGATCTCATATTCATAGAACTTTAATGTAGAAGTTACTAAATCAATTACGCCACTTGTACACGAAGATGTTTTTTATCCCACTCTCACAATTAACGCCACAGACATCGTGACTCCTCGCATTTCATATAAAGGACTTTTTAAATACTTATATAATTATGCGAAAATCTGTAAGCATCTAAAGTAGACAAACTGGCAGGATACACTTAATGTAGGGTCGCTTGAGGGCGCTGTATCGTGTTTCTACAGTCTAATATATGACCTTATTAATAAATACGTCCCAATGTGTCTTCCAAAGACCAAAGCGGCAGTATCCTGTTTGGTAACTATAATAAAGCTCTCATCAACATCATAAAGGAAAAAAATAAACTTGACACTTTTTTGGAAGCTTCATCATAATCCAATTGACTATGATGCTTTTGCACTTCTGCGTACCAGAGCAAAAAAACTAGCGAAGGAACTTCATAAGGCATACATAAAAAAATCTGAAAACAATATTAAATCAAATCCCAAAGCTGTTTGGTCTTATATTAAAAATAAACGTCACAGAAATTCGTGTTATCCTAAATATTTGCAATATGACAACAAAAATTTGCAGTGCGGCCAAGACATAAGCATGGCGTTCGCTGATTTCTTTAAAAAAATGTTCAATGAGCCTGCCCTAACATACTCTAATATCTCGGAAATACTTCTATCATTTACTAATACTATAAGTGACATTCAAGTAACAGATGAGTTGATGCACAAACACCTTAAAAGTTTGGACGTGACTAAAGGATCCGGCTCAGACAACATACCATCAGTATTTATAGTTAATTGCGCAGCGGCTCTCTGTGTACCTCTATGTATTTTATATAATAAATCTTTAAAAGAAGGAAGCCTCCCCATACTATGGAAGCAAGCACATATAATACCTATACACAAAAAAGGACAGAAAAACAAAATCGAAAACTATAGACCAATCTCAATATTAAATACCTTTAGTAAAGTTTTAGAGAAAATAGTATATAATAACGTGTATCCACTATTGATACCTTCCATACCACCCGAACAACACGGCTTCGTAAAAGGTAGCTCGACAACTACCAATCTATGTCTATTTATGAATGACGTCCTGCGTGGGATGGACGGAGGTTTGCAAGTTGATGTGATCTATACGGACTTCGAAAAAGCATTCGACCATGTGGATCATGTCATCCTGCTCCAAAAACTACAAGCGCTTGGGATTTGTGGTGATTTGTTAAGATGGTTCCAAGCTTATATTTTTAACCGCAGCCAAGCTGTAATTATAGGTGGTTTCAGATCTGATTACATAAACGTCCCTTCGGGTGTTCCACAGGGATCTCTGCTTGGTCCTCTCCTGTATATAGCCTACCTGTATGATATAGGAACATGTTTACAACACGCTAATTTTCTTCTATATGCAGACGACAAGAAAATATATATGAATATAAACTCAGAAAGGGACTGTCAGCTCCTCCAAGTTGACTTAAATAGACCTGCTCTATACTATAAAAATAATCGCATAACAGCTAATATTGAAAAATGTATATCAATCACGTTTACCCGTAAAATAAAACCTATACAGTATTCTTATCACATTGACAGTCATCCAATAACAAAAGCAAACAGCGTTAAAGACTTGGGAGTAACTTTAGATAGCAAACTAACCTTTTCAGAACACATTATATTAATAACCATGAAAGCCTACAAAAATCTTGGATTTATCATGCGTGTCACCAAACCTTTCAATGATTTAAGTTACATTAAAGCACTTTATTTCCATATGCCCGCAGCGTGTTGGAATATTGCTCTGTTAGTTGGAATCCTCAATACAAAAAATATGTAGCTGCCATAGAGGGTATACAGAGTAGATTCCTTCGGTACCTCAATCACCGGGGCAGACACAGGAGTGAAGAATACCATAGCTCTTGTCTGCATCACAACTTATTAACATTACAAAATCGTAGATGTGTAACTGATATGATGCTGCTATACGAGGTTTGTACTGGCGCTCTAGACTGTCCAAAATTGACTCAACAGATTATTAGTTTTCGTACCCCCAAGAAACGCACTAGAGTTACGGAATTATTTTATGTATCACCAGCTTACACAAACTATGCAAAAAAACTCTGTTACAAATAGAGTACTAAGAACATATAATAAATACTTTTCTAGCATTGACCCTTTTCGTTTGTCCAAGACCAAATTCAAAAATCTGTCTCAAAGGTTTTGGCAGATGGCATTGTTTATTAACATTAAGAGGGGTTGAAATTGCGACACACACACATTTTATTATTATATCACAAACTAACACACGTTTTCACCTCTCAATCATACACACACATACACACAAACACACACACACACACACACACATACACACAAACACGCACGCACGCACGCACGCACACATACACACAAACACGCACGCACGCACCCACGCACGCACGCACGCACGCACGCACGCACGCACACACGCACGCACACACGCACGCACGCACGCACGCACACACGCACGCACACACGCACGCACGCACGCGCACACACACACACACACACACACACACACACACACACACAAACACAAACACAAACACTTCCTCTCATTCTCATCACACCGATACTCAATATACGTTATACAAATATACAGTACTTACAATATGAGGCAGATAAAGGTATCTTACGACAAACACTGTAAATTATGTGTTAACATTTCTGAAGACGAAAAAAAAATATGTTCAAAACTTGTTTATATATATTGGTAAATGTACAAGCTGTAGATTTTGTTTCAATAAATAAAAAAAAATTAAAATCAAAGCTGAATGTATGGTATCTGGACGACGGTATACTGGTAGGTAAAGCAGATGACGTCCTCAGTGATCTTACTCATATTTTTCAAAATTTTCAAAATGTTGGTCTTGAACCAAATACCTATAAATGTGAAATATTTATTTCCAATAATTTACCTAATTCTAACAGAGATACCTTAATTCAAAATTTCAATCAGATTTCTCCAGGAATAAAAACTGTCAGGAATTGCTTTACCTGCTCAGTGCTCCGTTGTTTTTCGATAGTATTAAACCTGTTTTAAATACAAGATTTTATCAATTTTTAAATCACGTTAATAATTTTTTATCTTAAACCCCCATATTGCCCTTACTATTTTAAAATATAGTCTCCGTGTACCTAATTTTACATACTTATTACGTTGAAGTCCAGTCTGGAAATGTTCGGATATTTTAAAAGATATTGATAGCTTAAAATTGCTTTGGAAAATATTCTTAATACAATAGCATGGAATTAAGCCACTTTACTTATCAAATTTTGTTGGTATTGGAGTAAGAAACATTTCTAGCGTCGTATTGCCTGCTTTCCTTGCTTCCGTACATATTGTCAATGATTTATGTAACACAATTTAAAAAAAATAAAGTAGACCTGTGTTTTGCTGCGGAGGCAAGGCAAACATGGCTAACGCTCTGTCCCGGCGAAAATGTCCCACTGGAAGTGAACCAACAAAAACAGTGGGATATTCCGTTGGTACGGAGTGTTCAGAAAAATTTGTTTCAAAATTTACACAGTCAACAAGATCAAGCTCGTCTTCTAGCTGTTTCGACTAAGGAGTCTACTAAGATAAAAGTCACTGGTTACACGCTCTACCATCTAGTAATCTCGGCACATTGCTTGATGGGGAGAGCTTGCGCATCGCCGTAGGAATCCGGCTTGGAGCGGCAATTTGTCAACTTTTCATGCAAGAAAAGTGCAGGTAGGTTTTCCCGTCACGGTTCTTTAAACGAAGTCATCCGAAGGGCTCTTGTCTCCATAAACATCCCCTCGGTTATAGAGCCTTGCGAGATATTTATAGACGATGGCAAGAGACCCGACGGTATGACTTTGGTGCCTTGGGAGAGAGGTAAAGCCCCAGTGTGGGATGCTACTTGCGTTGACACTTTGGCGGCCTCTCATCTCAAGGGTACCTCTTTTAGAGCTGGGATGGCATCAGAGGCAGCCGAATTTAGTAAATGGCTCAAATATGAGTCTTTGAGAAATGTCTACTTATTTGTGCCATTTGCTCTAGAGACTATCGGTCCGTGGGGTCCACGTGCAGTAAAGTTCCTAAAGGAACTGTATCCACGGTTGGTCGTCGCTGCTGGTGATAAGAGGGCTGGTTCTTTCCTCGCTCAAAGGCTTAGTATAGCTATTCAGCGAGGAAACGCAGCCAGCGTTCTGGGCACTATACCACGAGGAGGAGGACTTTTTGACAATATAAATTTTCAATGTTAGTTTTTTTATATTATAGTTTCTTTTTTTATATTGTGTGTAATTATTATTAATTGTAAATATTATTTTTATTTAATGTTTCAATAAAGTACAGATAACATTGAAAAAAAAAACAAGTACAAGTAGATGAAGTTAGTTGAATAATGTACAAATTTTCTTAGCGGCGTTGGTGAGAAAAATAGACTGAAAATGACTTTCATTGAACGAACTTAACGATCGCAGCGCCTCACTTATTGTGTTCATATTTCTGGGACACTACTTTCTACGGCGATCTTAGAGCATACATCGGCGATCGTTCTCCTGTTCTCTAACCTCCATGATTCCGAAAGAAATGATAGGCTCCGAAGGGCTAGAACCTAAAGTCGTAAAGCCAGTTAATAAAAAAACGATGTCAAATAGGTAGGTGTTTGTCCACAAACATAAGAGTACTAACGTAGTGTTTGTCATATCATGCGTAGTATCCTCTTAGTAGTCTGTGGTCATATCGACTCTGTCCTTACTGGTCCTTACTCTGCCAGTCTCTTGTATAACACAGTTATGGCGGAACCAAATTTGAGTAAGGACGTACCAAACGTCATTGAAAAGGGAAATGTTGAAAAAGAACAAGTTTATCTTGAAGAAACATTTTATATTCTCTCCAAAAGGAAATCTGTTTTCCGCGTTCGCCTAACTTCTAAAGGATTGTCCTTAACTAAAGAAACCGATGATAGTTCTAAAGAGCAAACAATTCCTTTGCAAGACATTATCGGCAGCAAATGTATGAGAAGCAAGAGACGGCGTGTCGGGGCTGGATCTTGTGTTTGTACTTCACTGGTAGGTCACCAGCAGTTAAAAGTAGTAGATGAAAACAGCGGTGATCTTGATGAAAGCGATATTAGCGCATATCTATATATTTACGCTTATCCACTAAAGCTTAATCGGCGCACATTGAAAAGAGAACGGACTACAATAACATTACGGTTTCGGTCTTATGATAAATACGAAGATAATAATAAAGAAGCTCAAAAATGGAGAACATGCATTAAATGTTTGATAGCTAACCAACCTATTACTTATGTGGCGCCTCAAACACAATCTGATAAGAAGTTGCTAATTTTGTTAAATCCCAAATCTGGCCCTGGAAAGGCTCGTGAATTGTTTCAAACCAAAGTAGCTCCCTTGTTGCAAGAGGCCGAAATTCCATATGATCTGCATATAACAAAATACGCACAATATGCACGTGAATTTGTACGAACGAGAAATGTTTATGGTTGGCGGGGTGTTGTCGCTGTAGGGGGTGATGGTGTACTTTTCGAAATTCTAAATGGCATGTTTGAGCGTCTTGATTGGCAACAAGCATTGGCTGAAGTACCCCTTGGCATTATACCTTGTGGCTCTGGCAATGGCTTGGCAAGGACTATTTGTCATCATTACAAGTAAGTAATTTGAAATGATTTACATTATACTCTTTAAAGAAGCATGACTATATACTACTACTATGATATAGCTGGACTATATTGTAGTAGTAGTATATATTTTTTATTGTGTCTCATTAGTTAATTCTTAACATTCAAGCACCCAGTGCTTTAAGTTGTGTTTGGGATTGTGCATTGATGAAGTGGCAGGGTTCTTTCCAACTACATACATGTATTAAACCTAATATGTATTTGATATTTGATTATGAAGCCTGCGTAAGTGCTATTGTTCTAAAATTGATATAAACTCTTTTAAAAAAAAATTTAAATTAATTTGTTTTAAATTTATGAGTATGTGGGAGCCTTCTTCTAAATTAAAATATTAAGGGATCAGAAAATATAACAGTCACCATAAAATCGTTACTGTTATAATATTTATAGCATAAAACAAAATATAAAGGTCTTATGTGTAATTGTCATGTATCTTTTTCCTCTTGTTTCTTTGTAAACAATTTTTTAATCAAAGCTTTTCATTTATTAAGTAGTAAGTATTATTAACATATTAATTATATCTAGGATATAATAAAACAATTTAAACCTCAAAAAAAAGTCCAAAAAATTCAGAATTTAATTTTGTTAAAAACAAAATTGCTCAAATTAAAAATAAAGGATGAAAATAAAGCTTAAAGTTCAGAATATCAAAAAAAGTTATCATATTTATTTTTCATTTTGAGTTTTAAAAGGAAATTTTAATAGTTACTGGAGAGACAATTATTTTATAATAGTGTAGCAATACACTGTAATCTATCTCATTTTCTCGCAGTCTAAAGCATATACATGTATATGTTTGTCTCCTTTTAGTGTCGCTTTTTTGTTTCATCAATATTCAAATCACAACAATGCTAAAGAAGTTTGCACTTCAAAAATTTCTGGAAAACTATATTTTTCTACGTAAATATCCGCCAGGACATGCAATAGTATAGGTTCTAATATATAGGTTCAGAATGCAAAATTTTGGGGTGTAACGAAAGAAATTCGGGGTATTGGTTATCAATTTGGGACAACCAATTAAACTAGGTTTTTATAATCAAATATTAACAATTAGAGAAATTTCATAGGTAATGTCATTGGACATACTTAGTCCATTTAAAAAAACTTCTAATTATAGACTTGTATTGTACTTATATTACTTAATTATTTATATATTATACTTATGCATAAGTAGCTTAGATTAGACTATTGTTTTGTAGAACAAATTCAATTTGTTCTCATATAGTTTGTACAGACCACTTTTATTACCTGTTTTGTTATCAAGGAAGTTTCAAAGGCACATTTTAATTAAACTGACACAGGAATCACTCAAATTCGTTTGTCTTATCTTTGCTTAAATTTGTTTGTGTATTTCTCCTACCCTTCATCTCCCTCTACTCTACAAAGTTGTCTGATAGTAAAACACATCCCCTCCTTTACGCATTAAATAAGTAAATAATGAGGTATTAACTCGGACGGACTACTACTGAGCAGGAGAGGAACTATTGCAAGAATATGTTGTATTATTTCGATAAATCGATATTATAAAGGAAGTGGGGTTATAAGCAACTTAAAAGAAACTTGTATTTCTCTACAAGGTGTTTCCTGTGTCTTAAGTTATTAACTAGCTTGAAGATTGCTAAATGAATAATTTTGATGTTATAGTCAAGTAACCTGTAGTGGCGGTGACTTAACCATGTAGTGGCAGTGTAAGAATATCCGCTACCCCATATCGTCGCGATCAAGTGTCGTAAGAGGTGACAGAGGGATAATGAAACAGATGCGCAGCAGCATTTTCCTGATAACAACTCTTAATAATAAAAAACTGTGGTTGCCAACCGGCTCGCCAAGCTTGGTAACGATAGAAAAAGCCCCCCACAAGGCAATTTATAAGGGAGGGCTATGTTCAGTACATGGGCATGAAATATTGTCCCACTCTACTGAACACGCCAAGCTTAGAGGCCGATTTAGCCTTTCCTTCTAAGTAACTGTACATTTCATTGCTAAATTAGCCTGAAGAAGCTTGGCATGCCAGTGCAGCAGAACAGAATTTCATGCCGGCACACTGTTTGCTACTTTACAATGCGCAATTTTGGCTTTACATGGAATACTGCTATCATCTTTGGACCGGAGCACCGCCATGCCAGCTCCTTTTACTTGACCGCATCCAGCGAAGAGCAGCCACTGGTGCTGCGAAGAGATGTTGCATCCCTTAGTATTTTCTATTGCATTTACCGTGGAGAAAGCTTAGAGGAATTGTTCAGATAAATACCAGCCGTCAAATTTCATCATTGCACATGCAACAAAATTTATGTGATACCATCCAAACCATCTGGCCGTTTGGCGATCCACCATCCACTTCTTTGTGGAATCCGCTAGCGCCGGTGTTTTTTGCGGACTGATTTGACTTAGAGACCTACAAGATACGAGCTCACTCCTTTTTAGGAGGCCGGAAGTGAATCTGCAATTTCCCTTGTTTTTGCAGTTACTTATATTCTTCAGTGGACAATTACCATTAGTTAAGCTGCAAGCTTCTTTGCGAGGGGGCACACACTACTTTACCATATATTTATTTCAAAATTAATGCTGCAATATTTTCGGTATAATGGAAGATCTTGCTAAGCCATTTGAGGTTATATTCCCCCTTAAGCTTCGACTTGGAAGGCCCGTTATTACATATACCTTCTGTGTCTGACTATTTTTAGGGCAAAGACAAATCACGTTTTTCGGTGGCATAAATATGTTTATACTTGGACACTAAAGAGAATATATTGAAAATATTTTTGGGTATAGTTTTTTTTTACAGTTCTTGGCCGCTACATGCCTCTTCAGACTCCATCTTTTGCAATGTTTACGTTGTATAATGAATTGATGTACTTATTTAGTATTAGAATGTTGTCCATACTACTGCAAAAAGCCGGGTACAGTTGAATCAGGAGTTAAGTGCTAGTCACAAAGATTTATTCGAAAGTTTGATTTTATATCAGGTAAAATAATGCTCAATGATTTCTTATATTTACGCGAACACTACACATTGAAATAATACTAGTTTTTACGGAATTTATCGCGTATATTTTAACTTTTTAAATACCCGACGTTTCGAAATTGAAAAAACTATTGAAATCAAAAAACATCCTAATTTCAATAGAGAAGATGGCTGGGTGCTACCATCTGCTTGGGATCCTATAATAAATAAAATTAAATCCCAACCCAAGCATACAACTGCAAGACTTCAAGATACCATAAGTTCATACTGCATAGATCGGAACAAAAGTAAAATTTTAATCTATGGTAACTGCGGTTAACTATGACATATGGACGTTGAACATCTCAGTCCTGCCCGTGACCATGAGTGCTGTAAAGCGTTCGAAACGTCGGGTATTTAAAAAGTTAAAATATACGCGATAAATTCCGTAAAAACTAGTATTATTTCAATAAAATAATGCTTCCGAAAAGTTAACACAAAAATGAGTAACATGTGCAATTAATGTATGTTAAACGTCTTTGCTATATATTTTTTACAGAAATGATAAGGACATAACTAAGACTATAAACAAAATATGGAACAATATTCAGTTATATAAAAATAGATTTTTTGCTTACGAGTATTAGTCTTTACTGTAAGTACTCAATTTTTTCGACTATATGTTTGTAAGAGGAAAATGCAGCAAGTCATCATTATACGTTATAAATGGCGAGGTCAATTAATAAACTTAATAATAAAATAAAATACGCCGTATAAAGATCTGGTCTAGATTGTTCTGAAGGTTTTTTAATAAATTAAATTTAAACAAAGTATATTGCTATTATATAACATAGCGTATAACAGACTGCGAACTGTTTTTTTTAATAGAATAAGGTTGACAAACGGGCATACAGTCCACCTGATGGTAAGTGGATGATACCGTGGTCAATAGACATCAACATTTATCTTCGATTAGGAATCAATATGTAGATGAGGACTAAGATGGAATGCCTTGTATTCAGTAAAAAGAATATCCGGTTCTCTACACCCACCTTTCAAACAATAGGCTGGTATTTTACGTTGGTAGTCTCTAGAGCGTGGTTTTTCCCCGGTCGAGTCGACCCATTCGTGCTACAATTATAACTAAAACTAAAACGAGATAATTAAAACGAATCGATTGATTATTCGTTTGTTGTCGTGAACCTCATCTAGCTAGTATTTTAGACTTCACGAGTGGCTAACGTGCTGATATTATTAATTATACATTGGCATAGGTAATATTATATTAAACGTTTAGGTTTAATAATAATAATACCTATGCCTGTGGCGGTGTCTACAACTCCACATCGTCACAGTATAAATATGTACAGTAAGGAAGCTAAGCCTAGTTGAGGACATAATTACCTACGCTCCATGGAAGCGATAGGGTTGTGAATTTTAATGTTTTTGATATTTTTTTTTACATTTTTGTTATGTAGTGATCAATTAATGGAATTTAAATAATTACATGGTGTCGGTTAATCTCAGCAAAAGACAATAGTTTAAGCCCGGAAAACAATTTAATATTAACATACAACCAACTGGTAGAGCTATATCTTTAACTATCTTTAACTTTGTCCTTACGGCGCAACCTTTACAAGTTTTGGCGGGAGCATACGTAATACATTCGTGGCATTTTTAAAAAGATCGCGGAGATAAACTTAAAAAGTGACGCCACTGAGAGCACCGCGTCGTCCGCTTAGGAGTCTCGTAGTTGTGCATGTGTGTGAGTGTGCCGTTTTGAGCGTTTGTAAGGAGTTTCCTAACTGTTTCTATATCATATTAACTGTGACATCCCGTGGGTGTCTTAAGAGGCGACAGAGGGAAATAAAACTGGAGATGGGTAGCAGCATTTTCCTGATAACAACACTAAATAATAAAAAACTGGGATTGTCAACCCGCCTTCTATGCGTGGCAACTCGCAAAATCCCCCCTACGAGGAAATATATGAGGTAGGCTTATGTTCGTTCAGTCTCACTTTCGTAGG